GGGGTGCTGTCTAGAGGGACTGAGCATCTCGGTTGGCTGAGAAAGGGGTTCCTGGGACATGGGACTGCCGACGTTTGCTGTGGGCAAAGCTGAGTGACGTGGTCACCCCGGCGCTGTCCCTCATTTCAAAGGGTGCCTGTGAGGATGACAGGCAAGTGCTTAGTGCTTAGCAATTACGCGGGTGTTATGCCCAGAGCTGAACTGAAACGGAACGTCCCTGTGGGTGGAACTGTTAGTGGATGGATTTTTAGAAACATCAGCTCTGCTTAGGAGGGAGGGGGAAGCCCCAACGTGGTCCCTAGTTCTGGCCTTTGACAGACTCCACAATATCCCCTCTCCAGGGGTCAGTGTCCTGTCTGTGGATGGCAAGGACATGCTAGAAGACCCCCACAGCCTTTCAGCCCTGCCCTGTGTTCTGTGATATTTAGTCTGAGGTCTGAACACATGAGCTCTATTTACAGTCTCTCAGCGACTCTAAGACAAGTCCTCTTTTCTTGAGCTTTTGAACCTAGCTCTCTGCCTCAGTTTCCTTCCCTGGAGATGGCAGCCCTTGCCTTGAAAGGTTGGAGGTTGAGCAGCCCCCTGCCCTCAAAAAGCTTGCAGTTCAAACCAGAGATCAAGGAATGGTTCTCTTTGGCCTCCCGCAGTGTCGTTTTTGTTTTTTTTTTTTGAGAAAGATTAGCCCTGAGCTAACATCTGCCACCAATCCTCCTCTTTTTGCTGAGGAAGACTGGTCCTGAACTGACATCCATGCCCATCTTCCTCTACTTTATATGTGGGATACCTGCCACAGCATGGCTTGCCAAATGGTGCATAAGTTCGCACCTAGGATCCCCGCTGGGTAATGCCGGGCCACCGAAGCAGAACACGTGCACTTAATCGCTGAGCCACCGGGCCGGTCCTTCCCCCACTCCCCACCGCGCAGCGTTTTTAAAATGTTCAAACTGCAACCAAGATGTACTTCAATAGGTGATTAAACAAACTGTGGTACATCTATACCACGGAATATTATTTAGCGCCAAAAAGAAATGAGCTCTCAAGTCACGAAAAGACATGAGGAACCTTACATGCACATTGCTCAGTGAAAGCAGCCCATCTGAAAAGACTATAGACGGTGTGATTCCAACTCTATGACATTCTGGAAAAGGCAGAATTATGGACGCAGTAAAAAGATCAGGGTTGGTGGGGGTTCGAGGTTGGGGGTAGTGGGGAATGATGAATAGGTAAAGCTTGGGGGATTTTTAGGGGTACTGAAACTACTCTGTATGACGCTATAATGATGGATTCATGTCAGTATACGCTTGTCAAAATCCATAAAATGTACAGCACAAAGGAACCCTAATGTAAACTAAAGACTTTGGTTTATAATGATGTTGATAATATATGATAATAATGATTATATAATAATAATGATGTTGATTCCTTGATTGTAATGAATGAGCAACTCTGGTGCAGAGTGTTGACGGTCGGGGGGGCTGTGTGTATGTTGGGGGTGTGGCCAGAGAGTATATGGAAACTGTACTTTTAGCTTAATTTTGCTGTGGATCTAAAACTGCTCTAAAAAGTAAAGTCTCGTAATTTAAAAAGGAAAAAGAAAGTAAGTATTGGAACAGTCACACAGAAACATGGGGAGGTGCAAATCACATTTCCAGCTTCCCTTGAAAACTCAGTTTTGGTGGTTCCAGCCCCAACCAGGTAGAGAAGCACGTGGCTGGGTCTCACCTGTGGCTGGTCCCCACCAGGCTGGCTTTCTGCTTCCCATGGATCATCTGACCAGCCCTTGGAAGCACTGGCAATTGAGACTCAGTCTAGATCAACGGTTCTCAACTTGGGATAACTTTGCCCCCAGGGACACTGGCAATGTCTGGGGACATTAGTAATTGTCACAATGAAGTGTGCTACTGGCATTTAGTGGGTCGAGGCCGGGGATGCTGCAAAACATCTTGAAACGCACAGGACGGCCCCACTGAAGATAACGATCTGGCCCCAACTGTCACTAGTGCTAAGGTTGGGAAACTCTGGTGCAGAGAGCCAGTTCTCATTTGGGGAACTTTAAAAAATACTGATGCTGGTGCCACCCCCAGTGATTCTGACTTTAATGCTTGTCCCCCTGCCTGGACAAGAGGATTTTTAAAACCCCTCCAGATGAGTCTAATATGAAGCCATATTTGAGAACCACTGGTCTGGAAGATTCTTTGCATGGGTCAGGGCTTAAGGTATCCAGGATTGTCTTGCATTCACTCGTTCACTCATTCCTTCAATCATGCAGTCAGCACCCACTGCTTCTTTCTTCTTGCATAGAGCTAGGAGTCCTGGAGGTGAGCGGGCTGTGGACCTCCCTGCCCCACCAAGGAACTCCAGGTTTCATAAGAGCTCCAGCCTCTTCTAGTCCATCACTTCTCAAACATTTAGTGTGCTTGTGTGGGGTCTTGTTCAAATGCAGATTATGATTTGGCAAGTCTGCAGGGGGCCGGCGTTCTGAATTTCTAACCAGCTCCAGGGGACGCAGATGCTGTTCACCTGAGGACCACTCTGTGTTTCATCCTCATCCAGGATTCTCAGGAAACCCTGACCCAGAAAATGCCTGCATCCCAGGAAACACATTCCCCTGTGGCCTTACAAATAACTGTAACTACCTCTCACAAGTGCTTTATACCCCACCACTGGCGAAGTGCTCAGTAGAGCCTCACAGTAGCCAGGAAAGGGCATCCAGGATTATCGTACCAATGAGCCCACTTTCCAGATGAGTAAACTGAAGCTGACGGATGCACAGCCACCAGCCCAGGGTTTACTCAGCACTAGAGGCAGAACTGACTCCCAATTCAGAGATTGTCCCTTAAAGTCCACTTGGCTCTCAGCTTCAAGAGTGTGCTATCTGTGCAGTCATCCAGGACTCCTGTGCTCAGAAGGGCCCACATTCAGCTTAGTGCTCTGCTGTCACCGTCTTGAAATTCTTAATGTCTGAATAAGGGGCCCGGAAAATTCTGGAACTGGTCCTGCAATCAGCACATGGATTCTGAGATGAAACCTTTACACAGGCTCAGCAGGAACCTCAGACTGGGGGCTAAGAGCTAAGTGCAACATCTCCCTTTGTTAAGGAGAAGGAAGTATCCAGAGCAATCGTAGTGATTCTTGGGGTAGAGGAGACCTTGGTTCGAATCCCAAGGCCGCCATCTACCAGCCATGGGACGGAAGGCTTATTGTGTATGTAAATTAGCTTGGCCTCTTTTTCCTATTTCCCCATTTACAAAAGGAGGGGGTTGAACTAGACAGGGGGTTCTCCGCCTTGACAGCAATCACTGTGGCAGGGAAGCTGGAAACATGAGTCCCCTAGGGCCTGATCCCAGATGTTCTGATTCAGTTGGTCTGGGGTGGTCTTGAGACAGGGGTTTAAGAGCCCTGGGAGCATCTAACATGCAGCCAAGGCTGAGAACCACTGAACCTTCTCAACCTCCAGGCTCCAGTACCCCTGGTTCAGATGATTCTGGCAGGAATGTCCGGAACCCTTCTGCATGCTCCCTGCCGGCCCTGAAACCGATTTCCTCCAGACTCTTGTGTCCCATATCCCTACAAGGCTCCTGGCCACCACAGTTTTAGATTTGCTAAGGTATGCTGGGTTCTGTATTCACCGAGGGACTGGCCTGAGCCACTAGAAATTCGTCCCCAGGCAGGAAATACAGCCCAGTGTTCACACTATGACAATACAAAGCTTATTTTGCTTTGCAAAGTAACTGCTCTCCAGAAGAGCTTTTAAAGAAACAGGCTCTGCCATGTGGACTGGAAAAAATAAAACGGAACAGAAATGCTTGGCAAGCAGAGCATGATCCTATTAGCATAAGATCATTCGTCTACATCCATGACTACAGGGGCATAAATGTTTAGAAGACAGGTCTGGAAAGGTGGCCACCATGTCCGCTGTAATTATCTTTTTTCCTTTGGGCTTTCAACTGGATTTTTAAATATACATGAGCACCTATTTTTATCATCCGAAAAAAGAAATAGAGCTATTTCCATTCTGAGAAGAGAATATAGGGGTTATCTGCGTCTAAGTGGGAGAAAGGGTCACAAAGTTTCCAGGTGATTGATCTTTTTTCTCAAGCTAAATTCTTTAGTCTATTTAGTAGGCTAGAACAATGAAAATAGTGGAAGATGAACAAGAAACATTCAGTAAACCTTGTATAAAAATAGAACACATTCTAAGGAGGCCATTTGCCATCATTTTAAAAACATGTTTTTAGAAAATCCAAGAAGTGAGGTCTTCCCTCCTGCGAGTCTCTGCGGGGGTCTGGAGCTGGTGGAGGAGACTGACCCCAAATCACGGCGCCCTCGGACCGGTTCTGCTCAGTAAGTGGAAAGGATCGGGGCCAGGGCTGGAGGCATTCCCGCCGGCGCAGAGGTCCAGCGGGGCCCGGGCCGAGGAGCAGGGAGGGGAGGTTGCCCCAAGGCCGCAGCGGGGACGGGGCACCGGTGTCACTTTCTCTGACTCTGATCACAGCCCCCAGCACGGCCGGCCCTTATATAGACACTCAGCTGCCGCTCCCGCTCTGCGGGCCAAGGGCAAGGAAGGAGGTCACGGCTGCGGGCGGCCGGGACTTCTGGCCGGGCGGCAGCGCCGACCCCTGCATGCGCCCTCACCAAGACACGTTCCCCTTGCCCCAGTTCATGCGATCCTCCCCCGCCGGGATGCCTGACCCTCTCTCCCTGCCCCCTCCCCAGCACCTGTTCCCTCTCCTCTGAACAATCACTCCTCTCCTTCCAGCCCTCATCTGCTTCCCCTCCCCCAGCCCCACCATCTCCGGGGCTTCTCTCCTGGCCCTCCCTCACCTCTCTTCCCCGTGCCCGCCCCCGTGTGGGAGAACCCCATGATTCCAGCACCTGCCTGCTCCCCCGAAACAGTCCCTGGGACTGTCCCCCCACGATGCAGGCCTTCCCCTTTCAGACTCCCGGGTTCACCCCAAGCCCACGAGACCAGCCCCCTCCAGCCCCCAGCCCTGGCTCACCTGGCTCATATTTGAGGTAGAGAATGGAGACGATGAAGTAGCTGAGGTCGAAGACGGGGAAGAGCGGCACCCGCGAGAAGCTGAGCGCCAGCTCGCCTAGGCTCAGCGCCGACAGCAGGTCCATGGCGCCCGCCGGGTCCCACCGCAGCCCCCGGCCCGGTGCGTCCGCCGCACGTCGCCCGGAGACTGCGCCCCCGCTGCTGGACCCGCCCCGCCCGCCAGGCGCCGCCCCCAACCCGGCCCCGCGGGAGAGGAGGGGCGGCGGCTGGCCCCGATGAGGGTCATGCGGCCGCCCTCTCCAGAGCCCGGCGGATCAGAGTCCTGCTCTGTCCCTCAGGCCACCGCGACCCCATTCAGCCCAGCGAGGTGGGGTGCGGAGCCCTGTGGAGGGAGAGCTGGACTGGGGGCCTGTCCACTGAGGGGTCCGTCTCGCATGGAGCCCACCCAGGCAGGACGGACAGTCAGGACCCCACACTCGATCAGGAGGCTCGATTAGGACCCGCATCCTCCGTGGAGCGCTTGGATGGGGCCCTCTTCTCTCGTGGGGCCCGATCATTGTGAACCCCATTCCCCCGTGCCCCACAGGGTCCACTCGGTCGGGACCTCTGTCCTCGATGGAGCTGTCATGATCCCACTCCTCCGAAGTCACGACCTCTATACCCCGTGGGGACCCCTGTCCTCCGTGGGACCCCAGCCCCCGTAATGCCCGACTAGTGGGGATCCCCACCTCCGTTGGGCCTAGGAGGACCGCCTTTTGGAGTCCAATCATGGGAGTCCATGCCTGGGAGAGCCCACTGCGTCAGGACCCATTCCCCCGTGCTGCTCAGTGGTTAGGGGGCCCAGTTTCTCCAGAAGCCTCATCCGAGACCCCAGCTGAGGAGAAGTAAAAGTAGCCCCGCTCTCTCGAGAGCCCTCACGCATGCGCGTCACGCTTCCAATGCCGCCCCAGATGGCTCCGCCCCTTAGGTGACGTCACAGCTCGTCCGGCCCTTTCTTCGCCACCCTCTGAGCATCCTCAGCTGGGAGGCTAGGTCTTTGCTAAGGGGGCCTGGCCTGCAGAGGGCGGGAGCTGTCTGCCTTGGCCGTCGACTGGCCCAGCCTTCGCCAGCGCTGCTTCTAGATTGGTTGGCTCGTGCTCTTCTCCCCGCCCACGCCAGGGCTTCCGCTTCCGGTTCTGACTGCAGCTTCGGTCGTAACGATGATCGGGGACGTCCTGCTGTTCGGGTAATTCGGGGGACCAGAGGCTGGGGCGAGAGGGCCCGACGGGGTGGGGGCGGCGCAGCTAACGCATTCTCCCTCCGCAGGACGCTGCTGATGAACGCCGGAGCGGTGCTCAACTTTAAGCTGTGAGTAGGCCGCGTCGCACCGCGGTTCCCCCGGGGACCCGTAGCCCCGCCCTCCGGGCGCGAGCCCGCCCCACGCCTCAGGCCCCGCCCCCAGCCCGTCCTCTGGCCCCGCCTCCATCCTGGACTGTCCTCCTGTGACCTTCCCCTCGTCCAGACTTCAAATCCGGGTGCTCCGTTCCCCCGGGTCCCTCTGCTCGCACGCAGCCCCGGTGAGCCTCAGGCCCACCCCTTAAGAAGCTTTTAGCCCTCCCCGTACCCTCGGCCCCGCACCCGGCACCCGCGGACACCGTGTCGGCGGCTGCAGGCCTGGCTGTGATTGGCGGGGCAGGGGGTGGCCCAGCGAGGGTCGTTGAACCACCCGAGGTCACACAGCAAGTCAGCGGTAGGTCTAGAGCTCCCCTCTGAGCTGGGGGTCAGGGCCAGGGGACTGAGCAGTCTATATGTCCCGTTGAAAGTGGACTCTGTTTGCTTCTTTTTGCAGGAAAAAGAAGGATACGCAGGGCTTTGGGGATGAGTCACGGGAGCCCAGCACAGGTAAGGCCTCCTTTCTGGTCTCTGGAATCGCTCCGTTTCAGAGAGGGCAGTTCTTTGTCACCAGGTCCTTTTGAACTGTGTGTGCGCGTGTTTGTGTGACGAGCTTGAGGGTGTGGCTTCTGCCCACCTGTCTCGGGCTTCTTCCTCCTACCAGACCTCCCCTTGTCTGCGTAGGTCAGCTGTCAGGTCACTTCCCAGAGATATAGTTTTTTTATGTGCGCTGTCATCTGGCTAATGTCTGCCCCTCACACTTGACCTTAAGCTCCAGAGAAGAGGCTGCAGCTAGTTTCAGCTCATCCCTCTGCCCTCGCGGTGCCAGCACTCCAGCAGGAATGAATGAATGAATGAATGAATGATTGAGTGAATGAACAGCCTCACCAGGAGCTGTTGTTTTCAGAGTCCTGTGGACCTGTACTCTGTTTTGTAATTAGATGCCAACACTAGCTTTCAGATAAGTTAGGAAATGTCATATAAGAAATTCAGATGTCTGATTTTTCAAGAAAAATCAGAACATTCTACAACTCGGGGTTCAATGACCTTTTGGCACCTGTTGAATGGGGTTGAGAAGCAGGACCCCACTGAGGCAAGGCTTGTGGCCTTTACCTCCTCCCAGCCCCAGCCCTCTCGTCTTTACGTCATCTCACCTGCCTGGTCCCCGGAGGCCCTGGCATGTACACTTTGCTGCTGAGTTTATTCGAGTGACTGTTTGGAATCTAATGGGCCCTGCCTGTGACTGTGGTATCCATCCATCCATCCATCCATTCATCGAGCATTTGCTGAGCACCCACTACATGCCGGCCACTGTGCTGGATGCTGGGGACAGAGCAGGGGACAAGACCAAAGTCAGTCCTGACTTGTGGGCTGTACTACTATGGGGCGGGACAGACTTCCTACACCAGGAAGAAACGGTGAAGGAGGGGGCCCGGTGGGGACGGTGATGGGGTTGCTGCCTGGCTGGGGTGTGTGGAAGGAAGGTGCTCTGGGAGGTGGCGTCGCAGACGAGGTGGTGGGTCCGGTGATCGAGCTTTGTCCAAAGGTGAGGGGAACCCCGAAGAGCAGTGGTTTTGAAAACAGTCCAACAGCTCCCCTTTATTGGAGGCCTGCCTGGTGGTGGCTACCTTGTTAGGTGCTTCTCATGGGTGTTTCACTTCACCTTCATTCCTAAAAGGTAAGGGCGTTTTCACATTTTACAGATGAGAAAACTGAGGCTCGGAGATGTGCCTTAACTTGCTTATGGCCACCTGGCAAGTCAGTGACAGGATCAGGATTGGAGCCTGGGTTTTTCTTTCTTTCTTTTTTTTTTTTTTGAGGAAGACTGGCCCTGAGCTAACATCCATGCCTGTCTTCCTCTTCTTTATATGTGGGACGCTGCCACAGCATGCCTTGATAAGCAGTGTGTAGGTCTGCGCCCAGGATACGAGCTGGCCAACCCCGGGCTCCCGAAGCGGAACACATGAACCTAACAGCTGTGTCACCGGGCCAGGCCCAAGAACCTGGGTTTTTTGACCCCAGAGGTGGCACTCTCAGTCACTGGACCATCCATCTGTTCATTCATTCATTCGTACATTCATTCAGCAGCTGTGTGTATTGCTTAGCTGCTCTGTGGAAGGCAGCCTGCCAGGCCCTGAGGCTGTGGCCCACATCTGAATAGGAGCTGTGATGGGTGGGAGACTGGGCCTGAGGTGGCTGTGTCCTGATCAGGGGCTCCCTGCAAGGCTCCCTCCAGCCAGGGCCCTCTCCCTGCAGAGAGGGTTCCTTGCCCTCCATCTTCTACCTGGCTGACCCTAATACCATAGTGGCTGCGTTTGTTGAGGGCTCGGTGTGTGCCAGGCACCGTGCCAAGGTCTTCCCAGGCCCTCATCAGCCCCGTTTGCACGGGAGGAAACTGGGGAACAGACAAGTCAGACACTGGCCCATGTCACCTCCACGGAAGGGCAGTAAACTCCTGTCTCCGTTTAAGGTCGGAGCTCATGCACTTCCTCAGAGAGTTGTCTTCCGACCCCTCCCCAACACGCACTAGGTGGGGTCCCCCCAGTGTGTTCTGCCGTGGCCCTCGTCATGTGAATAATCACGTCTGATCACTTCTTTAGTATTTGTCCTTGCTGTGAGCTCTTTAGGGCAGGGACACCTGTCTTGTTCCTCCCTATGTCTCCTGCACTTGGCTGCTGCTGGGAACTAGTGGCCTTCAGTTGGCATCTGTTGATGGCAGGAGAGCCCCTTTTCATGATCCTGGGCTCTGAGAAGGGCCTTGCTGAGCAGCGCCTCTCACACATCCTGGAGATGGACCCATCTCTGATATTTGCAGTCTGTCCTGGGCCAACACTTACATAGGCTGTGCCGCATGTGGCTAACTCTGTGGCTTGGACAGTACTGGACATGTCTGGGCCGTGTTCAGCAAGACCACACGCTGACCACACGCTTGGATGGCACAGCATCGTTAGGTGGCCATCACATTGGGTTGTTGGGGACATTTCTCAGCTCGTGCCGGTCTTCCGTCTTTACTGGACAGCTCCAGTCTGCCGATGATACTGTGGGTGGCACCCCTCTAGATCACTTAACCCAGGCCTGTCTGTTTCATCCTGGAGGCCTAGCCAGGGAGGCTGAGAGGCTCGAAACCCTGCGGTAAGGTTCTGGAATCTAGGTCTCTGGAGTCTTAACATACCAAATGACCTCCTCTCGGAGCAGTTTCTGTTCCTCGGCATCAGGGGACGAGAGGAAGTCATCACCACAGCAGAACTCCCGTTTTCCTTGTCCGAATCAGTATGCTTTTAGTTGCAAACCGTCAACACCCGGCTCAGAGTAGTCAAAGCAAATGGGAATGTCCAAAGGTAGAGCTGTCTTCAGGCCCACCTGCGTTTAGGGCACAAACCAGCTCTCCAGTGTGTACCCGTCTCCTGCTCTCTTTTTCCTTCTGGGTTGGTTTTATTTATCAGGCTGGCTTGTATCGACAAAGGTGACCCCAGAGTAGAGCTCTGCACGTTTTTCTGTTAAGGACCAGATCGTAAATATTTTAGGCTTTGTGCTGCATGCAGTCTCTGATACAACACTTCAGCTCTGCCACTGCAGCTCGAAAGCAGCCGTGGACGATATGTAGATGATTGAGCACGGCTGTATTCCAGTAAAACTTTATTTCTGATGCTGAAATTTGAATTTATGTAATTTTTGCATCTCACAAAATGTCCTATGTTTTTCTTAACCATTAAAGAAGTGTAAAAACCGTTCTTAGCTCCTGGGCCGTTCAGAAACAGGTGGCAGGGGCGAGCTTCAGCCCCGGGCTGTGGTTACCTGACCCCTGCCCTGGAGGACTGGGTTTATAACTTCTTAGCCCAGCACAG